ATATATATATATATATATATATATATATATATATAAGTATTTATGAAATCTCTCGTATATTTAAATATAAATCTACAGAAAAAGTTGTAAAATTAATTTACTTTGGATATCTGATAGATACTGGTACAAAGAGTGATAAGGCTGAAGAGGAATAAAATAGCGATTGTCCATACGAACAGCGACTGTATCCTTTGAATGATATTGTATATCAAGATATGATGTATCACGCATTCCGCGATAAAGGAATTTTCCGCGGCATCGGTTTTTCTTTCTTCGTCTATGTCCCGAAAAAATTTGAATGTTTCCGTCAATCGATGGCACAGCAGTTCGATTTGTCCGCAAGTGTGAATAATGAGACCGTAAACGAGAGAATCGAAGGAAACGTTTATTATTATTCCGTAAGTAAAAACTACGACTTGCTGAAGATAAGTTAACACGTAGGGTACCAGTGTCGCGATAGAATATGGCAGATATACTTTGCACGGCAAACGTCTCTCGTCTGAAGTTAGCAGCGGCATCGTCAGAAATAGCAGACCCGTCGTTTGACACATGAACAGATACAAACAAGCATTCTGCTTAGCTTCACGTGCAAAAGAATTGAATAGTTGTTTAATTAGTTGAGATACAAATATAAATATATGGAAATATAATTTACAGAATATCCTACAGAGAGAAATCTGAGAAGCCACGCTTTATTGTAGCTTCTTATGATGATTTCGGCCGCTTCGGTCTTGACACGTTCACAAAAGTGGATGTAAAGCTTTTTACGAGTTCAACGTTAAGTGCAAACGCAAGTCACAGGTCTCGTGGAATTGACTGATCGCAAATCGGCCAATCGATCAACATAAGTCAGTTCCACAAGATCTGCAACTTGCGTTTGCGTCTTTGCGCTTAACGTAGAATTTACACATCACTTTTGTGAATGTAGCGCTGAAACCAGCTTAACCAGCTATCTGTCGCTCTCGGGGTTTTCTCTCTGATGATTTGCAACAAAATTACCTTTGCGACTGTATCTTCTCAATATAGATTTCTCCGTGGAATTTCTTGGCTGACATAGCTCGGTACGGAAGCAATCTAATAAAGCACGCAATTCGCACTGTCGCACCGAAAAATTTATGTACTTCAGACACAGAGTCATGTACGTTAAGGTGAGAAACAGAACGTCTATCAAATCTTCCATGTTGTTTCTTGTACGTACAAGCAGAATTATCTCGGATATTGTAAAGAGATATATTACAATAACAATAGTATATCTGTATCATCAGCGAAAAGAAAAGAAAAATTATTAAAAATTATTTTACAATTTTCATAATTTTAACTAATAAAATAATTTAACCAACTCATAATTTAACTAACAAACAAGATATGTTTAACGGTAACATGTATTTATGAATGACAACAAATACTCGTAATAAAATTATTGGAAATAATTTGCGAGTTTAATAATGCGCGCACAACAAATTATTATGTTTCAGTTATTCTACCTGTAGCAGAAAATAAAAAAATTTGTTGTTATCGAGTTATTATCTTCGTGATATTTCCATACACCACAGAAACGAAGAATAAAAAAGTTCACCGGTAATAAGTCCATAGTCCAAGTTTTTTTTTTCTGTTGCGTCTAACACAATGGCAAATTGTTTCTTGACAATGATAAAATATACTATATGTCATCAGTTCGGAATCTCGAGACATTTCTCAAGTCAATCGTGCTTTTGCATTAATAACGACGTAACGATATACGGTATTGTCAGATAGCATTACATTCTAATCTAGCAGAACATCCGTGTTTTTCCCATTGTATTTTTTTTTTTTTTATATTTTTATATCTCATGTTGGATTATTAACGAGATACACGACAATAATTTTGAGAACTCTAGAATCTTTCTATCATTCTTTTATTTCGCTAGAGACGCTATTAATGTTTCGACGGTTATTTTTCTTCTTTTTTGTGTTTTATTTATTTATTTTTTTTTTTTTATCTTATACGTATCTGAACGTATTTTATTCAATTTGGTCTGATTTTTCTAGGCCTTGTGATATAACTGTGCGGATCTTTGTTTCGACAGAAGAATATTTTTTTTCCCGATCAGAACGAACGCGATATCGCGGGTAATAATATCGATTGGGAAAAAAGTAGAGAGATTTAAATGTTCGCGGATGAGTTTCAAAGTTGCTATGAATCATCGATTTTGCATTAATACGCGAATTTCTAAATCTGTTCGAAATTGTGCGAAAATTTCCGAATTTCAACTCTGATTCTTCCTGAAACAAAGCTGATGACTCGCGAGGTTGACAAACATATGTTTGACTTTGATTACAAGCCAGTTCGTATACGACCGGAGTGTAAACTTCACGATCCAAATTCAAACAGTTTTCGGCATTATCGTGATATTGATCAGCTGGACACCGTGGAAAGAAACTTCCTATTTCGGGAACTGATTTGTTGACGCTGTCCCATCTCCATTTCCACGTCACATCGTCGGATGTTTCCGCTCGTGACAATTTAAATCGACCATCCGTCCAAATGTGTCGCAACTCTGTAATTATTAAAAAAAATCACTAAAAAAATAGACATGCGTCTCTTCTCGTTTTGAAAATTAATATGATTAACATATTTTAAATGTTTATGTGTCTATTTGTCATGTAATTGTATTGTTGACATCTATTAGCTTGCCGTCTCTATTATCTTTCATTAGAAGCATCATATGATCGATGATTCTCGGAGAATCCAGTACAACAAGCGACGCATTCAACTCTTTACATGAGAGCTGTGCTTGAAACCACGTGAGTGTTTCAAGTCCTATCCAGTAAAGAGATTCTTCGACATAAACTGAAGCAAGCTTTGCTCTCGTTCGCTTTCTTGAAGCTAAGATCGCAATCAAAAAACATTTTAAAAAACAAGTAAATCCAATCTATAGTTATAGTAAAATTTACAAATTTTGCTCGCATTCCTTGCATTAAGTCATTTACGAATGTGTACGGGTTGTGTGTACGGGTTGTGTGTACGGGTCAAGGTTACAAACAAAGACTGTTGTGGTCACAGCCATATTGTAAGAAGACAAGGCGTACGATTGCGCATGATACACCTCTCTTGTCTCCTCCCGACAAACATCTGGATTTAAAAATGTCGCGTGTTTCTGCCTTGTGTGTTTCGGTCATGACAATCGAATCGTGCTGAACGCGCGGATCAGATATTAAAATAATAATAAATTTCTCTAGTGACATTTTATAAAATATTGTATACAATATTCTTCGCGAATCAACGTTTTTCACCAGTACGCATCAAATCTCACATCCGAGTTGTAACCTTCAGAACACGTGTATCGAAACATAACTGCCTTTCTGACACGTGTCTGTTATGTGATGGAAACTTACACGACGGGAATGAAGAAAGAACTTCTCATCCGTAAGTTTGAAAGATAGTCTTTTCAATTTTGACACGAATTAAATCCCGGAGCAATTAACTCTTTCGCTCCGGTATGCAAAATGTGATTGCTTGTGACAAGAACAAGTCGATAAATCCGAGTGTTTCCAACGCACAATTGCGTTGTTTTTGTTCTAAACTTGTGAAATAAAATGTAATATACAGAATATATATATATATGTAGTATACACAGTATACATATATGTACGTTCATGTTTTGAGAGCATATACTCTTCGGAGCGAAAGAGTTAGGGACATGATCGCTTTGGTAAATCAAAGCGATATGATTGGTCGATTTGCCAGCCAAGTGGCAAAGTGGTAAAGTAAATGTTTATCAACGTGTATACAATACAAATTGCTCCAAACGATCAGTGACGTTATTTTGGCAAATCGATCGATCAATTTACCTGAATACCGATTGAAAACATCATCTATCTCAGACTCATGATGATTAGAAGTAAGTAATGTGATAAAGAAAATTCCAAACGGTGCCATGAAAATATGCATTGTAATGATCTTAGAAAATACACTTTCCATGACCTAACGTTTCTGATAGAAATGAGAAACGGTGAAAATTCAAAATGGCATTATAAGTCAGTGAATTCATGTGCGTAAGTAGAAGGGAAAAACCGGTAGCGTGCGCGAGTCGAATTCTCATCACTAACTATAATGCCACTTTAAATTTTCACCGTTTCTCATTTCTACCATTTCTCGTTTTCCTTGCAAACAGATGTTAGGTCGTGAAAAGTGTATGTTCTAAGATACATTTTCCGAAGGTGAGATAGATAAAATAATTTAAACAATAGACCATCTATGTTTGTAAGACGAAATCGAAACAAAATATAAAGTTTATAAAAATATTTCATCTTGTATTTTTACAACAAATACAAAATTCTTTAGAGATAAAAAAAATGAATTACGAAAGCAAAGATGTGTCAGCAATTATGAATGTTTAAAAGTTAAATAAACATAATTTTTACATAATATTGCTGTTTGGATAAGTTTATTTTAATAATTAATATGTATTAAAGACTAAAAACGTGATCAAAATGTAAATAAACAGTAATTATATTTTACGTATACCACATATTGATTTAGTATACCAATATTCATGGTTTCATGAAATCTTTTTATCTTTTTTGATTCTATTTTTACATAATGAAAAAAGCATATTTTAGTAGTAGTGATTGGCTTTTGAGTTTTAATTTTGTTTTCTTTTTTTTTTTAAGGTTAACGTGCGAAATATTTAGAATTGTCTGGAAAGCTGAAGACACAATTAAAGTGAGACGAAAAAGAGAAAAAATTAAAGAAATTATTATCATCAGTTATAGCACCGGTAGATTACCAGTGTAATCATTAAATATGAGTGATAATGTGGAAACTCGTCACACCTGGATTGAAAGTAAGAAAGAGTTTTACATATTTTTGCAACTTTTAGTTGTATTCTTTTTCTGAAGAGCAATGCATCATTTATGTTTATTAAAAAAAGATTAACTCACTATTTAAATTAATTCTTTATTATTCAAATATAACGGAGATATTAAGAAAAACTATATTACCACTTGCTCATATATGTATGTGTGTGTATATTATTTAAAAAATTACTATTCTTTTTTCTTAATGTTATAGCGCCATCTTTCATAGAAGAACTAAAAGAAAAATGTGAAAAAATCTCTCTAAAAATAAACGTTTTACTTAAGCAAGAGATAAATAAAAATCATTTTACATTGCGAGAAAGAAAAAAGCTTAGCGTTGAAGATGTTAAAGTTGAATTCGAAAGACAAATCTATTTTTTATCATCTTGGGAAAAATGCAATACGAAAGATTTTTCGGAAAAATATAAAAAAATACAAAGTATGTTTACATCGTATAATAATTCTCGTTTTCCAGATGTTTTGAAAGATTTTAGTTATGCATCTATTAATCAATCACATGAGCGCGATCAAACAAACAACTTTGCATTAAATAAAAATATAGACAATTTAGATATCACTAAACAACAAAAAGATGGAGAATGTTTAAAACATGTAACAAACAAACTTAAAAAGTTTAAATTAAATTCAGGAGAAAACAGCACTACAATATACAATTCTATGAATATGAGAAAAAAGACAAGAAGAGGGAAGAGAACATTAAGAACAAAGAAATTTAAAAATATGTTGTTCTCATCGATAGTAAATTTTTCATATAAAGAAGAAGATAAGATATTTGTCAGTAAATATCAGAGTATATACATCCAGTTATGTAAAATGGTTTTTGAGTTTAATTATATATTAAAAGTACACAGTGCTTTAATAATATTAAGTAAAAAAATTGAAAAGCTAATAAAACAATATACAAAACAATGCAATTATCAAGACTTACGTTACATATTCAATATTATTCGGAATTCTTTCAAAAATTGCAAAACAGAACTTAATTCGTACATAGCTAATATACATGAAAACGAATATGTTTGGAAATTGTGTTTAGACACGTATAATCAAACGCTGCAAAACGAAAAAAAAAAACTATGGAAACTTCAAGTAAAAAATCAAAGCAAACATGAGTACTTTTTAAAATATAATTCATTAATTGAAATGATAAAAGAATATTATCATAAATTGACACTACAAATAAAAGAATGTGAATTAATAATAATGGAGTTGGAAGTCAAAAAAAAAGACATCGTGATGGAGATAGCGATGCTTACCAGTTACATTTGCAAACTCAAAATAAGAAATGAAGATGTAAAGGAGAAAATTACTTCGAATGATATAAATACATTAATAAGTCATCTAACTGCATGTAATCTTGTAAATGATATAAGTGCTACATTGAAGGCAAAACGTATTCAAATTCATCGTACAGTTTAATACACACAAGTGTCTTTATATATATATATATATATATATATATATTTCATTATGATAAAATTTATGAAATTACATGTATACCTTGTATATATACGTGAAAAAAACATAAAGTTGAGTTATTACATAAAAAGTACCACACTTGGAGTAGAAAAACATCTTGAATTTTCTTAAAGACTTTAGTTATACTTAAAAACATTGAGCAAAAATACTCAAAAACTTTATAAATTGTCAATTAAGGAAGAATTTAGGCTCCTTAAGTTAAAACTAACAACGCGAAATTGAAACATGAAAGCCTAGGCTAAATTTCGCGTTGTTAGTTTATAAATTGTCTCTGCAAGGTTTGGTTTTGGACTACATTTTTCCTTTTCGTATTTTTTTTCAAACGTAATATGTGAAAAATAGTATTTTCTTTCTTCATAATTGTACAAACTGAAAACATTGTGTAAAACCTCCCGTATAATAATCAAGTGTAAAAGTGCTTGTAAAGCAAAATGTGTATTTTATTTAAGAGTTAAAATCATGTACATATATATAAAGTCGAAGAATTGTTTACTCAAATTTCAAGAGATATCAGGATAGAATTTATAATTAAAAATGCAAATGCAAATATTTAATAGATAACAAGATTATCAACTTGTTATTCTTATACACTTGTTATTATGCAAAAGAATATTCTTCTCTATTTTTGTATAGATAATATTTACCGCATTGTATGTATATATTTGTGTTTCTATACCGATTTATACAGGTTCATGTAATTTTTATACTGATGTATCTTTTATATCGATTTATATCTTATAATGGTATTTTTATCAAGATTTTAATAAATGATATTTGCAGTACCTTCGCATCAGTTCGTTCTTTATTCAAAATGCAACATAACATTACTTACATAAATGTCTTACCTAACATATGCAATTCCTCTCATGTGCTCAGACGAAAACATACAACATTCTTGTGTAAGAGCGCACGCTTTTAGGCACGCTTTTGTAGCAATATAAATCATAGCATGTTACTACAACTGCATCATATAAAATTTGCAATCTAAGACCTAAGTTACATGATCTAAGTCTACAGTTTACTTTGTGTATGATGTACAATCAGAATTTTATACACGTCGCAAGAACAATGTGCTATTTTTATTCTTTTTTGTTTGTAAAGTGTGTTTTATTTTTAAATGAGAAAAATAACAAAAGTCACACAAAGTGATGATACACATCATATAATTTACGTTTTTGAATAATATAAATTTTTTTCAAACGTATATCTATTTTTACTCGTTTAGATGTTTAGCATTAAATGTACTGATTTAAAATTTTAATGATAAGTCTTTTTTATATCCGATCAACCTAAGTATAAAGTTTCTAAGGCCACTCTAGGTATTCCGTAGAATAATTTTACTCGATAGTTCGACTCGCTGCTAAGTTACAAACATCGTCAGAAATATGGAATGTTGACTTTGAAGCGTTGTACAATAGTTTATGGATATAAATTTATACACAAACTCTTTTTCTCATTTTTTCCAATTTTCCAATTATCCTAATGTGTTACAAATGATACGCTATGTATTACAAACTTTGAAATTCTATTTGAGATGCTACGTTACAATAAGATCTTATTAAATATTTTTTGTAGTAAAGATTCTAGCAAATATTAGGCTATACTGTCAAGCTCTTAAGGCTCTTGAATATTCTTTCTAATTGAATTTTATAACTTCAGAAGTGAGAGAGAAATCACAAATGTGTTTCTTATCTTGCTGCAACTTACATCGAAATAATTCGTTTTTGCAAGTTTTCATCATATTCAAAGTAATAAAATTCACCGAAAACTTCCTTTTTACGATTATACTGGTTTTAATAAATATATTTATAAATAAATAATCTTCATTGATTGTGTCATGAGATAAAAATCTTGTACGATTGTAAAACTTTTTTACAATTTCTTGCTTCTGAAATCATAATTCTGTGATTTCAGAATGAATATTCAGGAGCTTTATAATATGACTACTTAAATCTTTTTCTATCGCTTTAGTTTTAATATTATATATAAATGTTTTTTAAGATGCATGACTTTAACAAATAAATAAGTTTTTATCATTATACACAATACATACATTATAAACAATATTAATCCTTTTTTGTATCTTTATAGTATAGATACTCAAAATTTCTTTAGAATTGATTTTCACAAGTTACAAATATACAAAAATATGTTACACACATATTCTTTACATAACACAATATATAAAATATTCATATGAAATTTTTGCCATGAAGAAACTTATATTCTAAAATGCAAAGAGTATTGCAATATAGTTTGAACTCGACTATTTAGAATTGTCAGATATGTTTTTAGAGAAAAAATCAATTTACATCTCCCTTATTTTTTAATATCTGTTATAATGTCTAAATGTAAACTTACAATTTTTTATTAGTATATAACCGTGTGAAAATTGTTTTTAATCTTAGATATCAATAACAGACGAAGAATTAATTACAAAACTAACTAAATTTTAAATGAACATTTTTCAGAAAAGTTTTTTTATTATGTGTTTGGCAAATATACATAATCAAAAAAGCGTACAAACACGTACGTTTTTGCAAACTCATTTGGTTAAAGTCAAAAGTCTATAAAAAATATAAAAAACCAATACTAATACAATATTTTATCTTAAAAGTAATAATCACAATGTATTCATTAAAACATATATAACATATGAGATTAATTCAAATGCAAGACGAAAGTTTGTAGAAAACTGTTATTAATTTAAAAATAAATTTTAAACAGTTAAATTTATTTATTACTATAGATATTGAAAGAGATAGTTTCATTTTTATGTGTACAAAATGATCGTAATACTGATCGTCGTACATGTGTTTCACATGTTCAAAAAACGTATATAAGTATATGTTATAGGAAAGATTTTGAAATATATTGAGAGTAATATATATATGTATATGTATATATATATAGTCGTATCTATATATATTACTAACTTGTCGTGTAAGTACGTGGAAGCAAAGCAAAATACAGATTATTTGTGTTATTAAGATAAGGAAGAACCTGTCCCTTATACGTGTATTATGCAAAGAGGCAGAAAAAATTGAATGTGTAAATAATGTAATATCTAATTGACAGCGTATCCTCTTAAATACTCTACTTCGGTTTAAATAGAAAAATATCATACAAAACCTTCGATCTGTCTTCATTCTTTCACAATTGCTCTTCATGGCAAATACTTTGTGTCAACTGCACTAATATCGACTTAAACCTGCGACACATATAATGTTTATTCTTCTTCCTTGCAAAGTCGCATGCGAGCAATTTTGACAATTCTTTGATTTTTACAATTGCGAATTGTCAATTTTAGAAAGGAAAACATTCTTGTTATCTTGGAGAAGATACAATGCAAAAGATTTTTCGGGAAAATACAAGAAATTACAATTACAAAGTATGTTTAAATCCTGTAATAATTCTGGTTCCCCTTCTCCAAATTTTTTAAAAGATTTCAGTTATACATTAATTATTCGTTAATTAATCACATGAATCGCAATCAAGTAAATAATTTTACATTAAATAGAAAGATAAAATCGCCATTTTTTAAAAGCCTTTTTTCTCTAAATCAGAGATATACACAAGTATGATACACACGTTTTATATATTGTAATTCACCAACGAAAAATAAACCTAAACTCTTCTTTGTATCTCTAAAATAAGACACAAAGATGAAGAATGTTTAGAA